AACATAGATCCAAGGTATTTAGGGTTGCATGTACACTTAGGAGTGTTAGAATGCTCAAAACCCAACACAACCATCCTATAACTAGGATACCGACCTAACCGGTCACTAACATATCATCATCCTATATACCAGGATACCGACCTAAACCAGGTCACTAACATAATACCATCCTAACTACCAGGATACCGACCTAAAACAGGTCACTAACATAATACTATCCTAACTACCAAGATGCAGATCTAGCAGATCAATAAACATATCAAGCAAATACCCGGATACAAATCCGATAAAGGGCCGAACTTGGTGCCTTAGACCATGTTGATATAGTGAGGATAACTCACCTTGTAACTGACACGCTGAAGTGATAAGCTCAACTCTCGAATCACCGTCACAAACTCCACCACCTATATCCACCATAGAACCATATCCATAAATCTCCAGTTACCCAAAAATGCTCCCCGAAATCAAATAGTCAGCCTTGGTTAAAGTCCAAGTCAATGGTCAAGGTCAACAGTCCATGTTGACCGGACTCGTCGAGTGCAGCCACCAACTCGTCGAGTCCTTCCAGAACTCAAGTAATCATGAAATCCCCCCCCCCACCGACTCGTCGAGTTTCCCTGCAAATCGTCGAGTTCATACGTGTCTAAAGTCGGGAAAACACTAGCTGACTCGCCGAGTCCACGACAATCTTCATCGGACTCGCCGAGTTGACCATCCAACTCGTCGAGTCCCTTTAGTCCATATCCAAACAGATGCTTATTAAGCCATCATATGGTTCCATATTGCAGATCCAGCTTCCCAAGGTATGCTTATCACGTAAAGTTGGAAACTTTACGTGCATGCAAGGCTATAAAGTCTCATAATGACAAAACCAAACTTGCAATGGAGTTTTACACTTAAGGAGGGCTTCATACTTGCCAAAGTTGATAGCTTTATGGACTTACAAACCAAAGAGAGTTGAGATCTGAAGTTACAACTTCAGATCTGAGCTCATACCCAAGAATAGCTTCATAATATGCTAGAAAGCCCAAATCTTTAACCAAATGAGATCTAGAATGAAATGAGGTCAAGGTAACGACTTGATACCTTCCAAAAGATGCCAACTGAGGTAGATATCAGATCCCCACATGTTCCTTGATTCTAGCCACTTGCTCTCCAAGCTCTTCTTACAAAAATTCACCTTCCAAAGCTTAAAACACACAAGGAAGAAGCACACACACGGATTAGGGTTTGCTGGACACTCAAGAGGGTGCAAGGGGGTTGAAGGAGGCTTATGATCCTTTAAATAGTGTGCAAAACCCCAGAAATTAGGGTTTCATCTTACAGCTCCTACTCGTCGAGTCCTATCTTGGACTCGGCGAGTGGTCACTTAAACACGTGGCCCAACCCGCTGCTACTCGACGGGTCAGACATCCAACTCGCCGAGTAGACCTTGAATTCTGAAAATTAAAACCATAAATTAATACTTGAGAATTGGGGCGTTACAAATTGGCTCGATGCAATCAAAACTTACCTCGGATAAGGTTCGCAGAGATGAGAGCGTTGTTTGGCGTGCAAAAATTACCCTCGACTCATAAATTCAGGGGGGTGATTGTTGGCGAACTTCTAAGAACCGGGTGTGGCTGTAAGGCGTGTCTTGATCTAGAAGCAATGACTTGGAGTGGTGTCCAAGTAACTTGGTGTGTGTGTCCAAGTCTTCCTATGTTTCCTTAAGCAATAAGGAAAATCATATAAGAAATGTTTTGTGATTATCTATCTAGATTCCTAGTTTAATACTAATGTGTAATGTTTAGCATCAATACCGATAGATGGGTTGTTGAAAGCACATCTATTGAAGTTTTTGAGTTATATTTCTTCAATAAAAGTTCTAGCGAGTTAGGCTGCATATTTCCTATTTTCTGTTTTTTCTTTAGCTTCAACAAGGAGGTTTATTGATGCAAAGACTGTAGTCATGGATGGAGATGCTACTAGATAACTCAATTAAACCTATTTAAAGGCAATATTTTTGGTTGGAGAACTTCTTTAGACTGATTGCTTATTAAAGTCAACTTAGATCCATGAGACGTGAAAGTTGATTCTATTTTTCTATGCTATGTATGATTCTCACATGGAGACGTGTTATCACTTATTTGTTTCACGTTATATGTCATATTCTATTTGGAGAGAAATAGGTTGTTAGTGGGATATTGTTATTCATATGGTGGACACTATGAGAGAATGACTTTCTTGGGCAGATATAATATGTCTTACCATAACGAAGATGTTGCAATTTGAATAACGACTTAGACGATTAGGAGTTATATGCAATCTTCTTTCTGTGTTAAAAAACCGTGAAAAGATGTGCTTTTCTATAACATTATTTCTCAGTTGTATTTTTGGATATTTAATAGAATGTCTAAACTAAAAGTCAGTTGGATCATATGGTTATAAAACTTAACCTTGACTATCTATGTTTTGTATATTTTGCTTCTTTTTATATCTCTTTACTAGTTTGGTATATTTCGGTTGTTCAAATAGATAAAATGAATATTGTTTTTGTTTATCTTAACCATCTGACTATTTCCTAGTCAAACAATCAATTTATACTACTAATGAACAGATTTTAAACGATTTTGATTTTGATTTCGTGATACATAATAAACATTCAAACTCTAGATCTTATATCTATATTAGTAAAACAAATCTGTTTATGATAAATTAATATTTTATTTTAAAACAAGAGAATTCTTTAGAAATGTTTATATATTCTGGACTCAGTAAAGATAAAGTCAATACTTTATTTTTTTAACATAAAAAGTAAGAAACGACAATTATTTATATACTTGAGAGTTTACCCACTAATCTTAAAAAAAAAAGTCTTTATATTATCCACTTATTAATTACTAAAAAATGACCTAATACTATTTTATATTAATTTTACTATATAATATCTATATGACATAGAATATTACCGTATTGTAACTTTAGTATATTTTTTTTGTAAAGTATTTCGTTTTACTATAAGATTAAAAGCCCAACAAAAAAGTTATAAGAAACAATTATTTTTATTTAAATATTGATAGGTAGTTTAGAAAACAATTTTTTCATAAGAAAAATCAAAAACTATGATAAATAAATATTTTCAAAAGAAGGATATACTTTTTTTCATTTTTCCATTTTTCATAATAAAATAATACCCTCTATCAAATAATTTGATAGATAAAATTATAAGATTACAGTAAAATAAGTACATAAAAAATATTGTAAAATTGTTGTAAATTAGACAAAAAAAAATCCAATAAAATTATATTAAGTTATACCATTTTTGTTATATTATTAAAAGTATATAACTTTGGTGTTATTACATATCTTTCTCTTTTTCTATTTAAAGAAAAAAGAAGTCATACCTAAATATAAATATGTTTTTTAAGATTTTCCTTAAAACAATTACAAAGATTCTAGATGATAACTTTGGAGCATACATACCCATACGCGTATACACTTTCAGGTGTGGGTCCCACTCCCCATGCCCTTTGGGCCCAACTCTGACATCTTTGTCAATTAGCCATTAGCAAAGCGAAGCCGTTTAACTAAATAAAAGTAAAACCCCATCAAGTCCCCCACCGACTCGCTCCACCATTTCTTTATTTCTCTCAGATTTGCTTTCGCATTGTAATCCACTGATCCTACAAGCTACTTGCCAGATTTTTTTGCTTGCTCCCAATCGTCTTCCTCCATATATCAGACGGAGATCTCCGCCATTCTGATCTAATTTTCGCAACACCCACCTCGTAATAATCAAAACAACACCCTATTATCATCAGACTCTTATGCTCGGAGCTCCTTCTACGTGAGCTTAGTTTCTCAAAGATTCTGTTTGTCCCCTGATGCGATTGGTATGATTCTGGCTTTAATTTTCGATTATCGAATGTTATTAGGTGTTTGTGAAAGCTTGTTTCGTTTGATTTCGTCGTTTGTTTTCAGTTTTTAAGTGAAATCTCGTACTCTGATTCACGTACTCTTTATTAAGGTTGCTAATGTAGCTTTACACTCTCGAACTTCTATATTATTATTATTTTTTGATTTTAAACTCTTTGTCTTGCGTAATCGGTGAAATACAATGTAAGGAGCAATGGTTGAATTTACAGGTCTGCTAATTTTGTTTAATGGTTAGATTTAGTTGATGTTCTAACTTTAAGTTCATGATATAGTGCCATAGTAACTAACGTATATTGATTGAAAGAAGCCTGTGAATCTTGCGTTTCATTTATAGGTATCATGTTTCAGTACTCTGTTAATCATGTTGATCATGATAATGATGTGAAAGCTCTGAGTATTCGAGCCATATGATATACCAAGAACATAGTGACAGACATTAATGGATCTATGAAAATCCCTTATTTTGGTTTTTAGAAGTGAAGGTTTTTGTTTATGGATCAATAATCTCTTTCAAACAACATCAAATCTCAAGAAACATTAAATCAAACATAGGATTTTACTTGTTAACATGCATTTAACTATTGATTCATTCTTCCTTTATACCAAGCGACTGATTTATACACAAATTTCAGGCTGCATCATGGCAACAAAAGGGAATTCAGGAGAAAATAGGGCTAGAAGTTCCATTACCATATTCATAGTTGTTGGTTTATGTTGTTTCTTCTACCTATTGGGAGCATGGCAAAGGAGTGGATATGGAAAAGGAGACAGCATAGCTTTAGAGATGACCAAAACTGGTGCAGATTGCAGCATTCTCCCAAATCTAAACTTTGAAACACACCACAGTGGCGATTCTGTAATTGTTGATAACCCACAAACCAAAGTCAAAGAATTTAAACCATGCAGTCCTAAATATACCGATTATACCCCTTGTCATGACCAAAAACGAGCCATGACATTCCCTAGACATGATATGATTTATAGAGAAAGACATTGTCCCCCTCAAGAACAAAAGTTGAAGTGTCTGATTCCAGCTCCAAAAGGCTATGTGACACCATTTTCATGGCCTAAAAGTCGTGATTATGTTCCTTTTGCAAATGCACCTTATAAAGCATTGACTGTTGAGAAGGCTATTCAAAATTGGATTCAGTATGAGGGCAATGTATTTAGGTTTCCAGGTGGTGGGACCCAGTTTCCTCAAGGGGCAGATGCATATATTGATCAACTTGCTTCTGTAATCCCAATTGATAATGGAACAGTGAGGACTGCTTTGGATACTGGTTGTGGGGTATGTAATCTTGCATTTTTATAAAATCTTTAACAAGTTTTTAACTTCTTAAACCATCATACTTTGCTTCTTGTTTCAAACAAACCGATGTAAAAAAAGAAGCTATACTTTTCAAGAATGAGTCGATTTGGATAAAACGTGTCTTCTTTTTCTTGCTGATAATAGCAATGCTCTTTTTTTACCTATAATAACAACATACTTACATTTTGCTACTTATATATTTTTTAAATATTGCTTTTATCAGTGATAATTTGTAAGTACATTGCTATTATGTGTAAAGAATTGCAAGTATCTTGCTACTTTGTTTCAAGAAAATATGTTGCTATTATGTGTTACATATTGCTATTATCCGTAAAAAAATGTAAGTACAATGCTATTATGCATAAAAAGTAAAGTACATTTCCTATATTAGTAAAAGGAATAAAGCACATTAATATTTTTCTTCAATTTACACTCTTTTTTGCACTTAAAAGTTACAACAATGCAAGAAAGATGGTTTGGTTGCAGAAAACAAAGTCTTGTTGTTAACAAAGTTGATTACTTTCTTTCTGAATTATTAATTTTTTATTTTTTTGGTAGGTTGCGAGTTGGGGGGCCTACCTTTGGAAGAGAAATGTTGTAACAATGTCATTTGCCCCTAGAGATAATCATGAAGCACAAGTTCAGTTTGCTCTTGAAAGAGGAGTACCTGCCATTGTTGGTGTTCTTGGCTCAATCAAAATGCCATTTCCATCTAAAGCTTTTGACATGGCCCACTGCTCTAGGTGCTTGATTCCATGGGGATCAAATGGTGAGATTCATTCTTACATTCATCACAAACTCACCACAATTCTTGTAATAATTCCAACAAAAACGATTTCTAGTATGCAAAAATGACAACAACAATGACATAAACAATACCCAAAATCCCATAATGAAATGGGATCATAAGGAGGTTAAATGTATGCCGAGGACCTCTGACATATGAAACATAAAGCAGATATACAGACAATAAAGTATAAACATGTATACCGACAATAAAGTATAAACATGTATACAGACAATAAAGCATAAAACACATTTACAGACAATAAAGCATAAAACACATTTACAGACAATAAAGCATAAAGCAGGTTATAAAGCAACTTTACAGACAATAAAGCATAAACCAGGTTTACAGACAATAAAGCAAAAAGCAGGTTTACAGACAATAAAACATAAACCAGGTTCACAGACAATAAAACATAAACCAGGTTCAGACAATAAAGCATAAAAAAGGAATTGACAATAAGGTTTAAAAGGGGAAAAAGAGGGGGAATATATGCAAGAATGAGTGATATTGAATTTCTTTTTTGATTTATGTTTTTGTGTAGATGGAAAATACATGATGGAAGTTGATAGAGTTTTAAGACCAGGTGGATTTTGGGTGCTTTCGGGTCCTCCAATTAATTGGAGAAATAATTACAAATCATGGCAACGTCCAAAAGAGGATCTTGAAGAAGAACAAAGGAATATTGAAGAGGTTGCTAAGCTTCTTTGCTGGGACAAAATATCTGAGAGTGGCGAAACCGTAATTTTCCAGAAAAAACTAAATCCTGAATCATGTCGTGGCTCAGAAGATACCCCTGGAGTTACATACTGCTCCCAAGATCCAGATGATGTTTGGTATGAACACATAAATTACAGAAAAGCCATTGTATTTTGGACAATTTTGCAGTTTAGTTTAACCACTTATATTTTAGGGTTAATCTAATAAAAGACCTTATGTTTTGTGTTTTTTCCGGATTAAACCTCAAATTTATTTTTTGCCTACAAAAAACCTTGTATTTTTTCGTATTTTCCGATCTGGCCCTTTTAGTTATTTTTTTTCCAAAAAAAATTGTAAAATGTGAGGGTTTTTTCGAGAAAAACTAAAAAAGTTGAAGGTTTATTTGGAAACATTTAGAAGGTTGAGGGGTTTTTTTTTCGGAAAAAAAATACAAAGTTGAGGGCTTTTTCGTAAAAAAATGAAAAAATGCAAGGTCTTTTTCAGGCAAAAAATAAATTTGAGGTTTAATCCGGAAAAAACACAAAATATAAGGTCTTTTATGTCAAAATTGTTTAATTTGGAAAAATGTCTGAAACTTTTATGTTTTGATTGGAAAAAATAAAGTATTAATTTTAATTTTTTTTTCTTTTGAATTTGCCTTTTTAACATTATCCAAAAAACCATTATATTTTTTGCATTTTTGCGGTTTAAACACTTTATATTTTTTCCAATCAAACCATAAACATTTCAGACATTTTTCCAAATTAACCATTTTGACATTATATAACATGTCAAAATAGTTAATCTGGAAAATTACCTTTAAAACCTAAAATATAAAAGATATAACATGTCAAAATGGTTAATGGTATAAATGGAAAAAATAAAGTCCTCTTGGCTAAGCCACAATTTTTGTTTTTTAAATTTTAAATTTTCTGTAATTTTCCTTGATCTTATTATCAATCCTTTTGATATTTAAATGTGTATTAAATCCCTCCATTCGATTCAAGATTTGTGTACAAAATTCCTTCTTTAGGTACAAGAAAATGGAGACATGTGTGACTCCTTCCAATTCCAACACCGGAATGGAATACAAACCGTTCCCGGAACGGCTTTATGCAACCCCACCACGAATTGCATCCGGTTCCATTCCAGTTTCTGAAGACAAATACATTGAAGACAACAAACAATGGAAGAAACATGTAAACGCTTACAAAAAAATCAATAGAATCATTGATTCCGGAAGGTACCGGAATATCATGGACATGAACGCTGGTTTTGGAGGTTTTGCTGCTGCTATCACTTCTCAAAAGTTATGGGTTATGAATGTGGTCCCCACTTTGGCCCAAAATACCCTTGGAGTTATATATGAACGTGGACTCATTGGCATCTATCATGATTGGTATCATTCTTATATTCTGTTGTTTGGATAAATGATATGAAAAGATTTTGTTTACTTTTTTTTTGAAATCTTTAATTTTTAAAATTGTGTAGGTGTGAAGCTTTTTCAACATACCCACGAACATATGATCTCATTCATGCGAATGGGCTATTTAGTTTATACAAGGACACGTAAGTAAAACATTGTATACCCTTTTTTCTAGGGTTAATTGCATGAAAGACATAACGTTTTGACCATTTTTTGAATGAAACCTAAATTTGTTTACAATATGTAAAAAGGCCTTTTCGTAAGAAGTGCTCAAATTGTTGTGTCTTTTATGCAAAAAAACATTGGGAAATCTACCATAAAGTCCAAATATTTTGGGTCAGTTTACAGTCCAACATTTATTTTTTGAACAGAAAAGTCCTGATTATCTAATTTTATACGATTATCTGTCATTTTTTGTTGAAAAAAATGATTGTTTCGTTAATTTGGGCAAAATATAAAATAGCTTGTTCAAAAGATAAAAGTTGGAATTAAACCGTAAACTAACCCAAAATTTTAGGATTTTATCGGAGATTTCCCAAAAACTTATTTGAATAAAAGGACACAATCTTTAGACCACTTTTTCATAAAAGACCTTTATTTATTTATTTATTTATTTATTTCCAGATGGAAACCGGGTAAAAAGACAAAAACAAAAAAATTAGGTCAGACTTTTGGTTTACACTTTTAGCAAAAAAAAATCTAGGTCTTATCTGAATAATGGTCAAAATATTGTGTCTTTAAACGGTTTTATGCATATAACCTATCTTTTTTTTTTTTTCAAGGAAAACTAATTTTAAAATCTTTAATGTAATGAAATTTATGTAGATGTGATTTTGAAGACATACTTTTAGAAATGGACCGAATATTACGTCCCGAAGGCGCAGTTATAATTCGTGATGAAGTGGATGTTCTTATGAAGGCTAAAAGTATAATTGGAGGTATGAGATGGGACACAAAAGTGATGGACCATGAAGACGGGCCCTTGGTCCCCGAGAAAATTTTAGTTGCGGTCAAACGATATTGGGTGGTTGGGTCAAACTCCACATCCTCACGTTGATTGCGAAAAGTGGTAATCAATCAAAGTTTTCATCATCTTTAGTAGAGTAATCTATGTTATTTAGTTGTTTAGTTATCATTAGGGGTTTGAGTTTTCCTTTTCTTTTATTATGTTTGTTGTAATGTAAAACGATTGAAAGCTTTTTAAGTTAATGGTGAGAAATGTTTTGTTGCAAGTTCCCATCTTTTGTTTCTTTTTAATGTTTTTCGATTGTGGTTGTAGTTAAAAGATCTACCATTTACATGATTGTTGTCTGATTTAAGGTTTACGGTTTAGGGTTTATAGTGTAATTGCACAAAGGTTCTAGCTCCTTTCCTTGTGTTATTTTTACAGCAATCCTTGAGCTCACCCACACAGCCTACACGAGCATCATTGTGTCCCGTTTTAGTCATTTTTGATTGTAGGTGCAGTTAAAAGAAATATGATCTACATGATTAGTGTAAGATTTAGGGTTTAGCGTTCATCGTTTATGTTGTCTTTGTACAAATGTTCTAAAATTTTCTTGCACGAGTTATTTCTTCCAGCAATCCTTTAGCTGTCATACACGACACACATTGTTGTAACCCATGGCCCAAATAGAGCCTATTTCATATCGTGGTTGATGAGAGTCCAATCTTTGACCTATCTACAATGCATTTGGGGGCTAAAGATTCGAGATCTAGAAAAAGCATAGGATCCCTTTGTGTGGATGGAGACAAAAAGGGTGAATAATTTTTGCCCTAAAAGAATGGGAATTTCAAGAAAATCACATCATTGGTGTAATTCCATGGTAGGGCTTGTATCCACATTGCACATGAATTCATGTTCCCTATGGGCTATACACAATTTTATGAGCAATTTGTTGTGTGGCCACCCACCATAGATTAAAGTTGAGCTTCATTTGGCATGTATTGTGATTCTTATCATGACATGTATAATTCGGCTTACAAATCAAACTCACAAGGAAACAAAAGAAGCTGGATTTGATAACATAAATATAATTATTTTAGAACATTGAAAACTGTCGGCAATACATGTTTTAAATCATCATTTAGATGTTTACTTGTAGTTGCTAATAACTTTTTTGTTTCATTGTTAGTATGTGTTCTTGTATTTTTCTTGTTTTAGGATCCGCTTGTTTAAGCCATAAAATCTCAACCACAACCACAACCACAATCACGAACAACTGACATTTTTGTTCAACCATTTTGATGGTTTTTTCTGATTTTTCTTATAAAAATAAAAATAAAAACATTATCATGTGACCAATGTTTTTATACAACGACATTAGTCGGGAGTTGGGGTTGTCGGCCGTGATAATGAGAGGATGTAGGGTTTCTCTAATGGGGCTGTTTAAGACTACAAACCATCAAACAAGAATGTTGAAGTTTATATGTAAGGTACCATTTTGAAAGCATTAGACATCGACAAGATGGACAATTTACTATTTAGCAAAGTTTTGAGTAAATTACAGAAATAGTCTTTGTGGTCTTTGAAAAGTTTTAGGTTTGGTTGGATGTTTCATTTGTTACATTTTAGTTGTTATTTTGTTTTTTTGTTGCAAATTTGGTTCTTTGGACTGACAAACGTTTCCTCTCCCCGTTAACTTTCCCCATATGTGACACACACGAGGGCAGTGTTGTCTTTTCCACCTTGTATCTCATCTCTATGCGTATTAAGAATATCTTTGGTCATTTGGCCTAAATTACAAAATTTTGGTCGGACAATCCCTAATTATCCGTTTGAGCTCACACCCTTTTGGTCCCTTTGATATTGTTCTAATGTGGAGACTGGAGTATGCTTGGGAAATTCTTTCACGTTAGACGTGAATTGTCTTTAAGGTTTGTATTTTTTTTCTTCTATGTTTTTCACACGGTTGAATGTACATCTCTTGTTTATTTGTATTTGTATTTTTTTTTGTTTTTTTACATGAGGTTATGTAATATTTTTATTTTAAAGATTCATCATGTTAGGATGTTCACTACCTTCATAGGAAGAAGGTACATCAAGGGTCATGTAAATTATTTTGATGTCATTGATAATGAAAACTTTTTAGTGTTTTGCTGTATGAATATGTGTTTGCATTTATAGTAATTGATATGATTGCTACCAACGAGTGATGAGGGTACGAAAAAAATTACTGATATCAAGAGAAAAAAAATGAGAGAAATATGTGAAATGACCCACATACCTTCATGTGTAAGGCATGTTGGGCACTTAACTGATGTTATTTTAATAGTGTTAGCCTAAAGAACCAAAATGGAAAATATGCAATAAAAGAACGAAATAAGGACCATGAGAGCAATAACGAAACATCTGGACAAAACATGAAACATGCAACTTTGTAAAGACTATGGGGACCATTTTTCTAGCTTACACTAAAGTTTTAGAGGGAACTCATTTGTATCAATTGCTTTCAACAACTGTTTTCTAATAAATTTGTCATTTTCAACAACTGTTTTCTAATAATTTTGTCATAATCCAAAAAAATGAAAAATAAAATCTAAGATAATCAAATAGAAAGAGATTATAAGAGTCAATGTGGTAACTCTTTATTTAGCCATAAGTGGTTAGCTCATTTTAAAAGACTTATCAGTATGTTTTTTTTGTCGAGAACATTATTTCCATGTTAACAAATATATAATACACAGTTAAATAAACTATAACTTCGACACTAATTTAATTTTTTAATCCAACTATTTAGAGGTTATAGGTATTAGGCACACTTAGGTCAATATCTATCATTCTATATATGTCTACTTATTTTTTAGATATATTTTTATTTTTGTTTATTTAATCCTTTTAAATAAGTATATTCCAAACGTGTTTTGGTTTTATAAAAAAGTCTCATATTTAAACAACTAACAATGATCAATTTGCTTTCAAAGGCTATGTTAACATCCCCAATATATGTGTATACAAATGTATATATTGAAATTGCATGCTCTGAAAGATTTGTACCCATGTATTAAAGGATTGTACCTTATGTACATGATGACAATTGTGTAACAAAGACACTTAAAGGTAATTTCTTAAAATAATAAATTCATGCTTAGTAAAGTTTATAAGATAATCTTGTTTGTTAATATATGGAGCTTAAAGATATATTCTATGAATTAAAGGTAATTTCTTAAAATAATAAATTCATGCTTAGTAAAGTTTATAAGATAATCTTGTTTGTTAATGTATGGAGCTTAAAGATATATTCTATGAATAAGGTTTTAAACCAAAAAGATTGGTAAAAATAAAGTATGAATGACAAATTGGGCAATCGTGTTGTATTTTAGCTGACATGAATACACGACACGACGCGACACACCAATCTTTATATATCACGAACTCGACACGACACAATGTCGTGTTTTGGTTTACTAATATGAAAACGACCCAATTAAAATATGATGAAAACGACCAACACGAAAAAGATAATAAATTAAACTTTTAATTTATTTTATTCAAAATTAATCTTTCAACACACAAAAAACACAACAAACACATGTTAATATTGTGTAAATTTTGTGTCAAATCCTGTATACGAACATGATATGACACGACCTTGTGTTTTTTACACTTGACATGAACACGAATTAAAATTTTATTTTCCTCCTAATTTTGTTTCATGTCGTATCATAAATTGTCACCCCTGATATAAAAATTCATAGAGTGAGGAATGGTATCTAAAGTTTCATAATATGTTGAAATGATATTATACTTGAGTGTTATAATCATAATTAGTATAATGCCATAAATATCATAAATACAAAGTATAATGTAGCGAATCAGATTTCCTTTCATCATCGGGGTTAGGGTTTAGTTCAGTTTTACTCTTAAACTAACATTTTCCTTGATCTAAAGTTGATTATTATTATTATTATTATTATTATTTTTTTGGGGGGGGGGGTGGCGGGGGATGGTAAAGTGTAGTAAAATGAAGCTTGGTATTGTACATGGGCTAGGAGTCATTTTATGATACTTTAAGGCCAAATAATGAAGTTGTGGGGTATTTAAGTGAAGCTAACTGTGACATCCTCATTTTCACGGCCATAAAAAGACCGATTTAGTTATGCTTATTTCATTTCAGAATATCATTTTTAAAGATTTATAATGCGTAATTTGTTCCTAATAATGTGATAAATATTATTACCAAGCATTTCCGAAGAAATGCATTTCATTAATAACTTCGGAATGTCATCGTCAATACAGAAACATAAAATAACGAAAATATTACAGGCCTTACAATAGTTTATTACACTATGGCCTACAATTATCCATACATCACTCAACATCCTTGGGCCTTCGTGCCGCTACACGTGATACAAAAAACTAAGCGGGTCAGGCTTCGGACCTGGTGAGCACATATTGTTTTCATCCTACAATAATTAAGCTCTTTTAAGTATATAATTCTCATCAAATAATTTACCCAGTTACCCATTCCCGTTATTCTCACATGTTGATCGTAAATATTGATCTTAAAGGACCTATCCTAAGGATCATCATCATCAACGGGTAGACAATATTGCTTGGGGGATTCCTTTAGCAACATGTGTCCATGAGGCAACCATGCGGGGATAGAGTACATTAATGAACATATAGTTCAATAACACGTACAAGTTGCGAGCCTGCTAATGTTTCCACTGGACTGTCTAGAATAGTCGTCATCTATACTCTGCTAGACGACTGGTTCATCAATAGTCAAGTCCTTTCATCATCATCTCATCATTTTCATCACCCATTACTACCCAATATATTTTATATAAATATATAAGAAAATACATATATGATTAATCAAGTAAAATCATATACTTTATATAACAAGATATTAAGTAATTTAGATAATTATTACTAAGTCTTAGTCTAATAAATATATAAGAAAATACATATATGATTAATCAAGT